TGTGAAAAGGCTAGGAAGTTGCATGAGGATTTAATTAAAAAAATGCCTGCAACTAGTGATGATGTGAGTGAATTTAAGGCCAGCAAAGGTTGGTTTGAGAGATTTAAGAAGCGTAGTGGCATCCATAGTGTGATAAGGCATGGTGAGGCTGCCAGTTCGGACCACAAAGCGGCTGAAAAATATGTGCAGGAATTCAAGGAGTACATAGACAGTGAAGGACTGAAACCTGAACAAGTGTTTAATTGTGATGAAACAGGCCTGTTCTGGAAGAAAATGCCAAGCAGGACCTACATTACTCAGGAGGAAAAGGCACTCCCAGGACATAAGCCTATGAAAGACAGGCTTACTCTTCTCATGTGTGCCAATGCTACTGGTGATTGCAAGTGAGCCTTTATTAGTGTATCACTCTGAAACTCCCAGAGCGTTCAGGCAAAAGAATGTCCTCAAGGATAATTTGTGTGTGCTGTGGAGGGCAAACAGTAAGGCATGGGTCACTAGGGACTTTTTCTATAACTGGTTACACCATGCATTTGCCCCCAATGTGAAGATTACCTAACTGAAAGAAATTAGAACTTAAGTGCCTCCTGGTGTTAGACAATGCCCTGGTCATCCTACAGACGTGGCAGAGCGACTTTATGGGGACATGAGCTTCATTAAGGTGAAGTTTTTGCCTCTAATACCACTCCTCTCCTGCAGCCCATGGACCAGCAGGTTATTTCCAACTTCAAGAAACTGTACACAAAAGCTCTGTTGAAAGGTGCTTTGTAGTGACCCAGAAACTCAACTGACTCTAAGAGAGTTTTGAGAGATCACTTTATATCCTCAATTGTGTAAACCTTATAGGTAAGGCTTGGGAGGGAGTGACTAAGAAGACCTTGAACTCTGCTTGGAAGAAACTGTGGCCAGAATGTGTAGACAAAAGGGATTTTGAAGGGTTTGAGGCTAACCCTGAGATGGATTATGCCAGTTGAGGAATCCATTGTGGCATTGGGAAAGTCCTTGGGGTTGGAGGTTAGTGGGGAGGATGTGGAAGAGTTGGTGGAGGAGGACAATGAAGAACTAACCACTGATGAGCTGATAGATCAACTTCAAGAGCAAGAGGCCAGACCTGGGGAAACTGGTTCAGAGGAGGGGAGAGAGAAATTGAAGAAGTTGCCTACTACAAAGATTAAGGAAATCTGTGCAAAGTGGCTTGAAGTGCAAACCTTCATGGATGAAAATCACCCTCACACAGCTATTGCAAGCCGTGCTGGTGATTATTACACTGACAATGTTGTGAAACACTTTAGGCAAGTCATAAAGGAACGAGAGGTACAGGCCACTATGGACAGATATCTTGTGCGAAAGAAGTCCAGTGACTCTGAAGCTGGCCCTAGTGGCATTAAAAGAAGAAGGGAGTAACCCCAGAAAAGGACTTGCTACCTCAAGTCCTAATGGAAGGGGATTCCCCTTCTAAACACTAACACTCTCTCTCCCCTCCTCCCATCCCATCAATCATCACCAGATCTTCAATAAAAGTAAGTGTCATGTAAGTGTGCATGCCTTTTTCAGTTTGTGTGTATTAAAATTAACATTTCATGTGGTAAAAAATTTTTTTTTTCATACTTTTGGGTGTCTTGCACGGATTAATTTTATTTCCATTATTTCTTATGGGGAAAATTCATTCACATAACGATTATTTCGCATAACAATTACCCCTCTTGCACGGATTAAAATCGTTAACCGGGGGTCCACTGTATTATCTTTTCATATAATTTTATATTGCTTATATTTGCGATAATAGCTAAATCGTAAATATATTGCTTTATATTCTTATTTGACTTATGTTGTTAGGATGTACATAATTTGTGCTCAGTTCAAGTCTTGATTGTCAAACTACTGTAATTATCGCTTGTCGCTCATTATACTGCCGGCTTCTGAGCTGTGCTGTCCACGGGGCTATCACGTGATCGAGGGGGGGGTGTCCTCACCTCTCGTGAAGTATTCAGTCTGCTCGAGACTCGCTTGATGGTTGGACAGATTGTCTGTCTCATTATTCTTGTTAGTTCTGTAGAACTCTGTTCACAGAACATTACATAAACTTAGTGATTTTCGACGTTGTACTGAGGTTGTGTGTCACATAGACACTCTGAACATCTCAGGTCCCGAGCTATAGCTTCTGACCTAATTTTGTACTGGTTTCTGTGTATTGTCACAGTCAAGCTTTTTCCTATGCTGAACTTAGATTCAGTAGTATGGGAGTTTTGTAACTTTTGTGGAGGATCTGCTGATGGTCCCTGCTTAGTGTCGTTATATTATCTCCTTGATCCTGATTGTGTCGCTGTCGCTTGATATATGGCTATTGGGTTAGCATTTCTTTTCATTGTTCAAGCAGACTGTTCTGGTTGCCAGTCGGTCAAGAAGTCAGTTTATGTGAGGACTTTGTCAGTCACTAGTTTAAGTCTAGTCGAGTCGTGAGACATAGTGAACTACTTAGAGCACTTACACGCATACACAAACTTACTTGTACATATTTGTAATATCTTATTAAATGTTAATGTACCAGACGGTACTTAAGAATTATAAATGTGATATGTGCTTTCAGCACAATAATATTGAACTCGAGAGATTGATATTATTTTCATTACTGTGATTGATTTAATTTACTTTGATAATATACCTCTAGACTTAATAAATTTATTAAATTTTAATTTTTCTAGTTAGTAGCCTACCAGTTGTAATCCTGAAGCACTATTGAATAATACTCAATTCTAATGGATAATTGGACAAGGATACTGACTACTTGTTACAAAAACCCAGTAACAGGCTGGATGCTAGAAGGGCAGTCCTTTCTAGTATTCACTGGAGATCTCTAAGCTTTTAGAATCGCATTTTTTGTAACACTGGCCCTGATGTGCTACAAGTCCCAGAATAAATGTATTCTTTTTGCTAATACTCCCAAAGCAATAATTTCCATAAAAAATAAGGGTAAGACTGCATGCTTACATTCATAAAAGAAAATTAGTTTTCAAAAGTACCTGATCTCCCTAGGAATCAAGTAAGTTTATTTAGGTACAGGTACACATATGCATGATTATCATACCTAGTAATGTGTAAATTACCTAGGATAACCTCCCCCAAAAAAGATGACTTATTTCCATCAGGAGCCGGCTCCTGCTAAAAGGTATTATTTAATCCACTATCAATTCTTTTTTAATCAACCTATGTCTCCTAGTCCTAAGGAGCTTTAAGACCTACTGAGGCTCGCAGGACCCTATGTCTAGCTCTCATACAATGTATTATAGACTTCTTTTGATGTTCTTGGAACTTTGCCTTAACACAAAAAAAAACTGAAAGATAAGCTAGAAATCACCCAGAACAAAATAGTGAGATTCATTCTGGTCCTGGGTCCAAGAAAACATGAAGGCAGAATGAATTACAACAACTGGATATGCTAATGTTGAAGACTGAGTAAATCAACTAAAGCTAAATTACGTTAATAAAACTGCTCACAGCCAGTGTCTCCAATATCTTACTGTCAATTTTGTTAAGACAGGGAACCAATGCAATTACAGAACTAGGGGAAGGGAGAACAACTTTGCAGTACCTACAGTCAATGGTCAAGCTTCAAAGACATTGTCCTGTACTGCAATAAAGAGTGGAATAGACTGCCTGCACATATCAAAGCCTGTCATTGCATAAGTCAGTTCAAGAAGAGAGCCAAAATGTACCTCATGAATAAGGCTACAGAAAGGGAGTAGAGTGATTTCTTGTATGAAAATAACTAATTTTACCTCTCCCCTAGTATATTTTATTTTATTGTAACTGCTTTTACAGTTAAGATACTTACCTGATTTCAACTTTTAAATAATAATTATCACAAGGACCCCAATGGAAATAAATCACTCTTACTTTACTGGGTTATCCTAGGTTCCTATACATATGCTGATATGTATGATATTCTATGTAATTGTGTATACCTAAATAAACTTTTTTACAATAGCACAAAGGTGGGAGCAGTGGTCCAGCTCTCCCGTACAGTACACGTTCACTGCTAACATCAAAAGTTAAGACGAGTCATGGCTGTCCTCATGATCAATACCAAGTATATATAACCTGTATCTGTGATGAGCACTGCACTCATCCTTGTAATATAATCATTTACTTGTGGTTATCACTGACAAAGACAAGTGTACCATCAAGAAAGTCATGGTGCAGATGATGGAGGCATCACAGCAACCCAAGCTCTGATAAATTAGACACATGTGCAACACTTGGGTATGTTTATTGAGAAAATGCTTCGCCACATAGTCCCCCGTCACCCAATACAAGGGGAGAATGGTGAAGAGGGGGGGAGTTGGGTAAAAAGTCCTGACTTTTAAATTTAAGGTTTTAAATATTAAAGGGGGCCCTAGTTGAAATAGGTCACTTTTGATTTTTTTGTGGTTATCCTAGGTAAGCTGGGGCTCTTCGTTGGTTTGCGGGGCAGCCAGCAAAACATTAAGAAAGAAGTTTATTCGGGTATAACAAATACTTACATAAATTATCATACATGGCGTAGTGTAGAAAACCCTGGGATAACCCAAAAAAGTCAGGTGACTTTTTTCCTTTTGGGTTGATAGGCTCTGACCCCAGGAGGCTGGTCCAGCCCGGGGACGGGGGCGTGACCCCCGGAACTTTTCCCAGGAAAATCCAGGAAAAACATCTGCTGCTTTTTAAAGTTAATTTATTTAACTGTATTTGTGTACCTTTTTTGTTTTAATTACTAGGGGGATTCCCTCAAACCCCTCCTGATTTTCCCCATTTCTTTGTATTGGACTGTTTAAACCCAGTGTGGGGAAGCTTTTTCTCAATAAATATACCCAAGTGTTGCACATGTGTCTAGTTTATCAGCTTGTCGGTTCTCTGAACCATTTATCTAGACGCCATCAACGTTCTCGTATTTAGACCAACAGCTTAAATTAAATTAAGGTATTTATTTAGTTAACACTGAGGTAGAGGTATAAGTTAGGAGTACTTACCATAAAGGGTTATTTCTGTCACAACAGTAAATACTGAATCTGCAGTCACTTGCTTCCCACTGCACAAGCTATGACGACCCAGGAGCTGTACACTCCCGGGCTACACTAACACACATTAACAACTCCGGATGTTTTCCTTGTGTGCTAAGATAAGACTCAAACACGGGTTTAGGAGGTAGTACAGTGGTGCCACCAGAGCTGTGATGGTTGTTGTGCAGTGACTGGTAAAACCACAGCAACCCAACACCCCCCCCCCAACCTGGTGGATGTTGCACCAGCTTCAACATCCCTCCCCCTCCCCCCCCCCCTATCACTCACCATTCCCTTTTCCTTTTTGGTGTGTGTGTTTGTATCCCCTTTGGGGTTGCAGGGGTGAGTCATACTCCGCCCCCGCCTCTTCCTGATTGTACTAGGTCCTCTCTTCCTGCCCCATGAGTCTATCATTTCCCCGCCTTAAAAAAGTGTATGGTGGCCCGGTGGCTGGTGGCTAAAAACTCCCCCTTCACACAAAAGGAGGGGCCCGGGTTTGTTCCCAGGGGTGGGAAATTCGACACGTTTCCTTCAAACCCATTGTTCTGTTTACCTAGCAGCAAAAAGGGACCTGGGTGTTTGTCGACTGGTGTGGGTCGCTCCCGGGGACAAAATTAAGGGCCCAATGGAAATAAGTTGACAGTCCCCGATGCGCACTGACTTTTTGGGTTATCCTGGGTGGCTAACCCTTCGGGGTTAAAAATCCGAAACGAAATCTTATCTTTTTATGGTTCCCCCCTCCACTACGTCACTTTCTAGGGTATTCCACGGCCCCCCGAAACCTAGACTGAAGAAATACTTCCCAACATCCCCTTTTATTCATCTGGTCTTCAAATTCCATTGTGACCTCTTGTTTGTGTCCCCTCTCTGGAACATCCCCCTTTGTCCACCTGTCTATTCTGCGCAGTTTTATAGCGTTATCATGTCTCCCTGACCCTCCTGTCCTCCAGTGTCGTCAGGCCGATTTCCCTCAACCTTTCTTTTATAGGGGAAAAACCCCTGTCTGGACTAGTCTTTTTGCAAAAATTTGCCTTTCTCTAATTTTGACGTGCTTTATAGTGGTGGATTCCAAAAATGGTGTGCATACCCAGTAGGGGGGTGAGAGATGGTATACGTTCAAAAGATCCTTTCGAGGGATCGGAACGCTATCCGTAGTTTCCAGGCCCCCGAAAGCGCAGCGTTATTGATTGTTTTGCGCCTCAGGAATATGCTCGGTGTTATACTCACCCCCCGATCTTTTTTTCCCTTTATAGGTTTTTAGCTTTGGCCCCTAAACTATATTGTGTCTGCGTTTTCTTTGCCCTTCCCCAATCTTCATGACTTGCTTTGGCAGGGTTAAATTCAAGGAGCCCGTTCCTGGCCAGGCTTGTGCCCGTCCGGGCTCTTTGTAGTCCTGCCTGATCCTCGTCCCATTTGATTCTTCTCTTAAAAATTTACTCTCTTTCAAACAAGGACACTTCTGAGTCTATCCCTTCCTTATGCGTTCACATATCCAGAACAGCACAGGGCCCGGACTGACCCCTGTGGAACCCCCCTTGTCACAGGCGCCCACTCCGAACCCCGTCGCGTACCCGATCGTTTTTGCCCCGTAGGTTTCTCTGTCCATTGATGCCTTTCCTGTTATGTGTCCCGGTCCTCTACTTTGCAGTAACCTCTTTTGAGGAACTGTGTGAAGGGCCCTTTTTGCAGTCCAAAAATATGCAGTCAAACCACCCCTCTCTCTTTTTCTTCTTTGTCACCTTGTCATAAAACTTAGTAGGTTTGTGACACATTATTTTTCCCTTCCCTGAAACCTGTGGTTGTCAATTTTACATTTTTCTTTCCCGGTGCCCCCCATCTCCTCCTGATGATCTTCTCCTGACCTTGCTTTCTATACACGTTGTGATACAGGTCTGTAGTTTTGGCCCCATGTCTGTCTCCCTTTTTTAAAAAATTGGGGCTAATTTGCCATTTTCCATACCTCAGGGAGTTGCCCAGTTTCAAGATGTTTGAAGTCTTTGTTAATGGCTCACACTATTTCTGCTCCCTCTTTAAGGACCCCTGGGAGATGTTGTTGGTCCCCCCCTTTTAGTGTCAATTTTGCACATCATTCTTCCCCCTCCTCCCTTGGTTTATGTACCCCATCCAGCACTTGCTGGGGTGCCCCCCCCCCGTTCTGATTTTTGGAGTCCTATGGTTTCCCCTGTAAATACCTTTAAATCTTTTGTTGAGCTCCTGACAAACCTCTCGGTCGTTTCTTGTGAATTCCCCATCACCTTCCCCAGTCTGATTACCCGGTCCTTGACTGTTTTTTCCTCTGATTGGGGTTTCAACAGTTCGGGGCAGTTTTTACTTTTGTGTTGTCATTTTCAATGTCCTTGAGCCTCCCCCCTTTTTTCTGTGCATATTCGTTTTTGGCTCTTCGGCTGATTTCTTTTTTTTCCTGAGTTCTCGTTTCTGTACCTTTTCCTTCTCTAGTCCCCAGTTTTTGCCCCCTACACCTTTGGGTGAACCCAAAGGGCCGTTCTGTTTTCCCATTATTTTGTTTCCCCCTTGGGGAAAAAACCCCTTCCCCTTTCCCCCCTTGCTTTTTTGCTAATAGTCCATCATTTCTGTATGGTTTTTCCTGTCAGTCCCTCTCCCCTGAATGCCTTAAAGGGAAATTCCTCATGCCTGAGTAGTTCCCCTTTTGTAGTTTGGGTTTTTTCCCGCCTATTCCTGCTACTTCTCCACTTGGAGCTCAACTAGTATTTGAAGACAGAACCACATGACACTAGCTCCCCGGGGGTTTCATGCAATACCCCCGATGTCCGAAACCCTGAGGGACGACCCCGTGTCCATGCTCCCCTCCATAGGATGGAAAAGGCTCGTGATAGGGGCTTCTTGCAGTTCTTGTGAACACGGGTTTTCCCAATGGTCGGGGCCCTGGGGCAGAGTGCGGGGCATGTCATTTATCGTTTGTTCGAGTTTTTTGGCGTCGGGGAAAACATGGGAAAGGGGTTGTGTTAATAAAATTTTTGTGGCTCTTCATAAAAAATTCTTTTTGTCTTCGACTCTCAGTCTGGTTGCGGCTTGCTAAAAACTGAGTATATTGGGCCCTTGATTTGCTCACTTTTTTCCCTTGCTGTCATCTTTTGTAGGACCCATCTTTTTAAGTGGGCCCCCAATATGGGACGTTGTTCTCGTTTTTGTTTTGGGCCCTTTGGGAAGAAATACTTTGGGTTTCTTTCGATTTCATTTATGGCTTTTAGTTTCTTCCCGCGATTCCTGACTCCTAAAGGATTTTTTTTTAAAGTTTTAAGTTCGATGGGTTGGGTATTTCTCCCGACCAGGTCTCCCTGCGCAAATTTTTTGGGGTAATTTTTTGGGCCTCTTTTAGCCGCTCTGTTATTTTTTTTCCGTCGCCTGTTTAAAAGGGAGCCCCCTGTCTCTTTTAAATTTTACATCTACTTTCCTCCTTTTTTCTTAGAGGAAAAAAGCCTTGGCCCTAATCGAGTGGGCCCCCGAGGTTTAAACTGTTTAGGATAAGTTTGGGTCTGTGTTGCTTAGTTATTTTTCCCCGCTTTATATCGGGGTTTGGATTGGTTTTCTTGGTCCCCCTTTTTTGTTTTTGTTAAATTTAAGTTAATTTGGTGAATTTCTCCCCCGTGGGCTTTGTTCATTTTGTCGGTTTTGAGGCTCCAGCATCATGTTGAAAACCTTTAATTTTGGGTTTTGATTGAGTTTTTGTTTTTTATTGGTGAATTTCTTATAAAATCCCTCATTTTTAAATGGGAAAATGAGGTTTAGGTATTCCCAGTCAAAAGGCTCCCATTAATTTTTGGTTTAAAATTGAATTTTGTGCAGAGGGTTTAAAAAACTCGTGTGAGTGTGGTTTTTTATCTAGCTGCCCCTGGTGTTATTATGCAAAAATATTTTTGCTATATTCCTCCTTTTTTGGGCCTTAAAATTTTAAATTTCCCCCAGGAGCAAGATGTTGGGTTTCCGGAAGGGTGGGATTTTCCAGACAGTGGGAATTTTTTTCAGCTGTTCCTTGGAATTGCTGGGATGTTGCATCCGGAAAGGGTTGTAGACTACCACAATGACTGTTTTGGTTCTCGACCTTTACTGCCCAAAACTTTCCCCTACGTCATTTTTGGGGATTTAAACTTCTGGGGCAAAAAAAAAATGAACCCCTTTCAATGTAAGGCCACCCCCCTTTTGCCGTTCACTCTGTACATCTGTTTAAAATTGTAACCTGGGGTCCCTATTTCGTTGGGCCAAGTGATCCCTTTTTTTTGGGGCTCAGTTTAAAACCGCGAACATTGCCTTTGCCCCTTTCAAAAAAAGTCCACGGATTTAAAAAGGGATTTTGTTGTTTATTGCTTTGGGTTTAGAAACCCTTTTATTTTTGCCCAAAGAAGAATGTTATCGGACTGGTGGTTTGTTTGGGACTGGGGGGGGGTTTTTTTTTTTCCGGCAAGGGGGATTTCGGGGGGGCAACGCCCCCGCGGCCGGTCTGTGACCAGGGCCCCCTTTGGGGGATCGCCTGGTGAAGTGGGGGGTCTGTCCTGGGAGACAGTAATGGTGAAGTGGAGTTTTTGTCGGGTGGGGGGAATTATACGCAGGAAGGAATACATAAAAATGACCTCATAGGGGACAGGAACCGTAGGGGGGAAACAAGTGTAGTCAAAGATAAGAAAAAACCAATAGCAATTAAAAAATCCACAGGAAATAACAAAAAAGGGACTCCATAGCTATAGTGAAGATTATACCCCCAAAACAACTGGTGGGAGCTCCCTTGTTTGGGGCTAGGGAGGAAGGGAATAAGAAGGGAAAAAATGCACCAACAGGGAAACAGTCACAGAAAACCCAAACAAACGGGAAAACCAAGCCTGTGCACATACATCACTTGGATCTGCAGACATGGGAAATCTGGAAAAACAGAGGGACGTGCAGCTTGATCCCCCTAAAAAAAACCATGCCCATAGACAACAGGAAAATGAAAACCCCCTTCCTGTAAGTTTTTCACACTAAAATGTTACCTCTTCAGTAAGGAAAGACTGTGCATAATTTAAATTGCCGGCACCCATCTAAAGGGTACAAAAAGATCAAAACATCCAGGCCAGGGGGAAAAACCTTTGGGGCCCCACACCCACTCAGAGGGAGAGGTTTTTTTTAGTGCCGGGAAAGGAAAAAAAACGGGCAGG